ATAGACATAATTTCGTACCATTTAGCTTGTCCCTCCTATATGATTTGACATTGGCGATCTTTTATCTCTGGAACACTATACCTTTTGGATCCTTTTGGTGCTTTTTGGGGGTTCTGACGTTCTAAGTGTTGGATTCAGCAGCTAATTCCGTAGGAAACATAGACATAATTTCGTACCATTTGGCTTTTCCCTCGCGTATGATTTGCAAATATTGAATTGGCGATCTTTTATCTCTGGAACACTATACCTTTTGGATCCTTTTGGTGCTTTTTGGGGGTTCTGATGTTCTAAGTGTTGGATTCAGCAGCTAATTCCGTAGGAAACATAGACATAATTTCGTACCATTTGGCTTTTCCCTCCCATATGATTTGCAAACATTGGCGATCTTTTATCTCTGAAACACTATACCTTTGGTGCTTTTTGGGGGTTCTGACGTTCTAAGTGTTGGATTCAGCAGCTAATTCCGTAGGAAACATAGACATAATTTCGTACCATTTGGCTTTTCTGTCCCATATGTTTTGCAAATATTGGCGATCTTTTATCTCTGGAACACTCTAACCTTTGGATCCTTTTGGTGCTTTTTGGGGGTTCTGACGTTCTAAGTGTTGGATTCAGCAGCTAATTCCGTAGGAAACATAGACATAATTTCGTACCATTTGGCTTTTCCCTCCCATATGATTTGCAAATATTGGCGATCTTATCTCTGGAACACTCTACCTTTTGGATCCTTTTGGTGCTTTTTGGGGGTTCTGACGTTCTAAGTGTTGGATTCAGCAGCTAATTCCGTAGGAAACATAGACATAATTTCGTTCCATTTGGCTTTTCCCTCCCATATGATTTGCAAATATTGAATTGGCGATCTTTTATCTCTGGAACACTATACCTTTTGGATCCTTTTGGTGCTTTTTGGGGGTTCTGACGTTCTAAGTGTTGGATTCAGCAGCTAATGCCGTAGGAAACATAGACATAATTTCGTACCATTTGGCTTTTCCCTCCTATATGATTTGCAAACATTGGCGATCTTTTATCTCTGAAACACTATACCTTTTGGTGCTTTTGGGGGTTCTTACGTTCTAAGTGTTGGATTCAGCAGCTAATTCCGTAGGAAACATAGACATAATTTCGTACCATTTGGCTTTTCCCTCCTATATGATTTGCAACCATTGGCGATCTTTTATCTCTGAAACACTATACCTTTTGGTGCTTTTGGGGGTTCTGACGTTCTAAGTGTTGGATTCAGCAGCTAATTCCGTAGGAAACATAGGCATAATTTCGCACCATTTGGCTTTTCCCTCCCATATGATTTGCAAATATTGGCGATCTTTTATCTCTGGAACACTATACCTTTTGGTGCTTTTTGGGGGGTCTGACGTAGGAAACATAGACATAATTTCTTTCCCTGTGGCTTTTCCCTCACAAATGATTTGCAAATACGGCGATCTTTTATCTTTGGAACACTATACCTTTTGGATCCTTTTGGTGCTTTTTGGGGGTTCTGACGTTCTAAGTGTTGGATTCTGCAGCTAATTCCGTAGGAAACATAGACATAATTTCGTACCATTTGGCTTTTCCCTCCCATATGATTTGCAAATCTTGGCGATCTTTTATCTCTGGAACACTATACCTTTTGGTGCTTTTTGGGGGTTCTGACGTTCTAAGTGTTAGATTCAGCAGCTAATTCCGTAGGAAACATAGACATAATTTCGTACCATTTGGCTTTTCCCTCCCATATGATTTGCAAATATTGGCGATCTTTTATCTCTGGAATATTATACCTTTTGGTGCTTTTTGGGGGTTCTGACGTTCTAAGTGTTGGATTCAGCAGCTAATTCCGTAGGAAACATAGACATAATTTCGTACCATTTGGCTTTTCCCTCCCATATGATTTGCAAATCTTGGCGGTCTTTCCCTCTGGAACACTATACCTTTTGGTGCTTTTTGGTGGTTCTGACGTTCTAAGTGTTGGATTCAGCAGCTAATTCCGTAGGAAACACAGACATAATTTCGTACCATTTGGCTTTTCCCTCCTATATGATTTGCAAACATTGGCGGTCTTTTATCTCTGGAACACTCTACCTTTTGGATCCTTTTGGTGCTTTTTGGGGGTTCTGTCGTTCTAAGTGTTGGATTCAACAGCTAATTCCGTAGGAAACATAGACATAATTTCGTACCATTTGGCTTTTCCCTCCCATATGATTTGACATTGGCGATCTTTTATCTCTGGAACACTCTACCTTTTGGATCCTTTTGGTGCTTTTTGGGGGTTCTGACGTTCTAAGTGTTGGATTCAGCAGCTAATTCCGAGGAAACATAGACATAATTTCGTACCATTTGGCTTTTCCCTCTCATATGATTTGCAAATATTGGTGATCTTTTATCTCTGGAACACTATACCTTTTGGTGCTTTTTAGGGGTTCTGACGTTCTAAGTGTTGGATTCAGCAGCTAATTCCGTATAGGAAACCTAGACATAATTTCGATTCCACTTCGAATTCCAATTTTCTGCAATATTTTAATTGCGTTATAAAAGGAAATTCAATTGATTTCGAAAGCGAAAAAACTAGTCTTTTTATTAAGGGTTTAAATTTATTATTAGGATCCGCTTCGAAATCCAATTTTTGGCAATATTTTAATTGTGTTATAAGGAAATTTACCTGATTTTGAAATCGAAAAAAACGGATTTTCTTATTAAGGGTTTAAATTTATTATTTAGGTCCGCATCGAAATCCAATTTGTGGCAATATTTCAATTGCGCTATATAAGGAAATTTAATTGGTTTTGAATCGAAAAAAATAGTTTTGTTTTATTAAGGGTTTAAATTTATTAGGGTCCGCTTCGAACTCTAGTGTTTGGCAATAGTCTTATTGTGTTATAAAAGGAAATTTAATTGATTTTGAATCGAAAAAACTAGTCTGTTTATTAAGGGTTTAAATTTATTATTAGGATTCGCTTCGAAATCCAATTTTTGGCAATATTTTAATTGTGTTATAAGGAAATTTACCTGATTTTGAAATCGAAAAAAACGGTTTTTCTTATTAAGGGTTTAAATTTATTATTTAGGTCCGCATCGAAATCCAATTTGTGGCAATATTTCAATTGCGCTATATAAGGAAATTTAATTGGTTTTGAATCGAAAAAAATAGTTTTGTTTTATTAAGGGTTTAAATTTATTAGGGTCCGCTTCGAACTCTAGTGTTTGGCAATAGTCTTATTGCGTTATAAAAGGAAATTTAATTGATTTTGAATCGAAAAAACTAGTCTTTTTATTAAGGGTTTAAATTTATTATTAGGATTCGCTTCGAAATCCAATTTTTGGCAATATTTTAATTGCGTTATATAAGGAAATTTAATTGATTTTGAAGTCGAAAAAAATAGCCGCTTTATTAAGGGTCTAAATTTATTATTAGGGTCCGCTTCGAAATCCAATTTTTGGCAATATGTTTAATTGCGCTATATAAGGAAATTTAATTGATTTTGAAATCGAAAAAATAGTTTATATAGCGACGGACAATCACTTAGCACGTTCTAAGTGTTGGTTTACGTTCTAAGTGATAAATGGGCCTAAGTGATATTTTGACGTTCTAAGTGATGAATTTTCCCTACGTTCTAAGTGATGAAATTTTGCTACGTTCTAAGTACGAAAAAAAAAATGGAAAAAACAATTACGTTCTAAGTGATTGTCCGTCACTATAGATTATAAGGGGGTTGAGCACCCTGTACTTGTGGGTATATGCCATAAAACATAAGTATATTGAGGGAATTTTAAGGGGGAATGATACAGCCAAGGGTATGTAATTGTCTACTTGGGTTTGTTCCAAAAGAGAATTCACCAATTGATATCAAGTTATAAGTTGCGGCGATCTTACCTGATGTACCAGCAAAATTTGCGGTAGCCTATGATGAAACAAACCCATAAGAAAAAATATGCTTTCCACAAGTGGAGGGGCCCTTGCTGCAGGTTTTCTACATTTTTTTCCCAGGTTGTTGCAGAAACAAGGATTCATAGATGATGTTAGCAGATTTTCCCAGATTTTTCCAGCAACAAAGGGATTCAACCGGCAAAAAGTAGGCTTCTGAGGTAGCACACATCGGATCCATGAGCCATGAGCCACTAGAAATGGGCAGCCCAGGCTCCAGGAATTCTGTGGCCACCTCTAATCCTCGGAATCAACGGTACCAGGGAGCCATAGGGAGCCGATAGGAGCCGAATGGATGTCCGGATGCACATGGATTTCCCTTTTCGCCAGTGGGCCAGCTGGGGGTGAAATGTTTATGCCGCTTAATTCGTGTTGTTCATACCATATTGAATAATTTATGCATGCGTATTTTCCAGATTGAACTGTCACTTTTACATGCACCTCATGTTATCAAGTGTCATCCCACTTAAAAACCTGCAGCGCCCATTTTTAGATTGTTTTGTTGTCAATGCTCCATACCGCTCGCTAATCGATTGTCAACTGCTCCCCTGCCTGTAGCCCCCCTAATGTAACCATGAAGGTCTGAGAAACCCCTCCGATGGCATGCTCCTTTCTACTTGGAGGGTAGACGAGCCGCCTAGTATTCCCATAAAACGGATTGGGAACTGATAATCGAAACATGGCCCATGCTTAGATTCAGATCATTTAATTTTCTAGGATATTCTTGGCCCTATTCATTTGCAGTATTCCCAGAAAAGATTTGACTAGACAAAATTATCCCACTTCCAAGTTCATCCCATTCATATTCCGTACAACTTTAACCAAATGTTCATAAGATGTTCAACCAAGGCATTTCAATGGTCCCAAATTGTCTGAACACATTTTTTTCACTAGTTATTAGTTACCCACGATCAAATTTCCATGGTTTCTCATCATTTTCCCATATGTTCCCTTATTTTCCACTATTGTCCAATATTTTCCCTTATTTTCCAATATGTTTCCCATATTTTTCCCTATGTTTCATATCTTCCATACCTTTGATATTCCCATCGCCCCAGGACGTCCACGAAACGTGCCCAAGTCACTCTCCAGCTCCGCATCTCTCAAACCGCGGGCGTACTGATGGAAATCCACCTCCTCAGTGGTCAAGATCGGTGCAAGGTGGCAGTGGTGCCCCAGTTCGGAATCGCTAAGTTGGTGAACATCAGTCCAATAACTAGGGTTGATTAGGGGGTTATATCTATAGTTAATGGGGATTGACGGGTTGATGAATATGATGAATGGGGGTTATATTGAACTAGTTCATGGGATTATAAACCAACTATAACCAACTTATACATCACTGGGGGGGTACCACCTGGTGGGAAAAGTTGCTGGGTGTACTACCAGCTGGGGCAGTGATGTTGGCGGCTTTTGATCCATCCCATGAATACGATGTGACTGTATAGCGATATCATGTTTTTTTCATACCCTCTGGTTATGTCAAAATAGCTATTGGAAATGGCCAGTTATAGTGGATTTTCCCATAAAAAATGGTGATTTTCCATAGTTATGTTAGTTTACCAGAGGGTATATCATATATCATATATCTATATCCACCATAAACCCATACATTGACCAAATTACAAAGCAACTTAGCTAAAGTAGGGCTACACCTTGTAGGGTTTATGGTTGGTAGATGTTTTTTTTGTTTGATCGATGCAAATAAAACAACAAAACTGGGGGGTGGCATCACATTGCTTTTGATCCGGTCTATGGTTTAACCATATCTTTCAAGGTTTGCAAGAGATTAATGTTTCAACAAACGGTTTAACAATGTTTGACCCTATCTTAAAGGTTTGCAAAAGATTCGGTCTATGGTTCAACCAGTTTAATCATCTTTGACCCGCACGTGCTTGAAAGGTTTGAAAAAATAATGGCTTAACATGGCTTAACATGGCTTAATTAACCATGTTTAACCATGGATGACCCCCATCTTTGAAGCTTTGCAAAATATTGATTCTATGGCAAAACCATGCTCGACCTGATTGTTTATCTCAGGGCCAAACTATAACAGTTTGATAGATCCGACTGCCATAGCAAACTAGTAGACGCCAATGTTATCATGTTGATTGGTCAAATCATCCTTTTTCTGTTGGTCAAATAACATTTTTTGCTGTCCGAATCCAGCTTTGAATTGTTAAACCTACATGTTTGGTTGGTCAAATCATTAGTCCAATCCACAGTTTTAATGCTTAAGCGCCAATTTGATCCATTTTGGTTCAACTACCACCCCATCCCCCCATCTCCATCCCCACACCTTGGCTCGCGTGTGCAGCGGCACGGCCTGTGGTATGTCCAGTACCGTGTCAGGCTCTCCGTCGTCGCCGGCGTCGCTGCCGGCGGGGCTCGCGAAGTCCACTTTGGGCCTTCCGGGGCGAGGTTCCGATCTTGGTCCCGAGGGGGTGAGACTGGGATCTTCTGAGCCGTGGCAAACATTCGCTGTAGAAAGCGTCATCCTTGGCTCAAGGAACAGAACATTCTTTTTCTCAGGCAAAATTGGGAGTTTCCTGCCCATGTTCCCAATAACCAATGCTGGGAATGAGGAGAAAACAAAACACGTTTTTAGGTACGGCAGCAATGATGTTGCCACTCGACCACTTCACCTGCCAAACCAAAACATACCGAAACAACTGGGCCAATTCCAATTGAAGTTCCATCAGTTTCGACGTGGGGGGTTCCAGTCTGAACTAACATATGCAGTAGTAGATGGTGATAGCTTAATGAGTTTCCGAAGGGACCTAAGAAGTTCAGTTTCATGTTCTGACAGTTCATCTTCAATGCCTAGTTCATCTTCAAAAATAAACTGGCTCCAGTAATCTGAAAAAACGTAACTCTCTGGCAATTGACCATCGCTAACATCACCATGGTACCCTCTGGTAAACATACAAAAAGCTATTGAAAATAGCCATGGAAATTGGAAATAGTTGATGACTTTACCCATTAACAATGGTGATATTATATTCCATAGTTTTTTGTATGTTTACCAGAGGGTAAATCATCTATAAATAGACCAATTTCAAGAGCAACTGTTCACCGCGCCTATCACGTCCCTTCTTTGGCTCCTGGGAAGGGTCGGTTTCGGTGATGGTCGAGAGGGGTGTGTATCAAATGTATCAATAAGGTATGGGATTCTTAGGGGTTTCTCAGCATGAGAAGCCCATTCTTGGTGCTTTGTTCATCCCTTGCTGAAAGTTGAACTTTGTAAACCCATCTCATTCCAAAAAGGCTAAATGTCAAAGTGTATGGCTATACAGGACCAATCCAGTAATCAATGTTGGACAACAACAAGGAAAAAAAAATGCCAAATCTGGATCCATGTTCAAACCCAAACCTGGAATTTTCTGTCGCTACGTATATTCCCAAAACACGGAATGTTTGAACAATTCTCAATCATCGATCCAGTGTAAAATCTCGGGAAAATCTGTAGAAAAACTGTGTTTACCCGACCTGGTAAACATACAAAAAACGATGGAACTTCACCATGCTATTAATAGGTAAATCAACTATTTCTATAGCCATTTTCAATAGCAAACTGTAACAAATTACCAGAGGGTAATCATGCACCCTTGGAACAAATGCAACAAGCAAAAGGTCACCTGATCTTGACCCATGATTAGCCCGCTTACGGCAATCGTGGTAAATAACCGTTGTGGTATCAATGATTAGCCCACCAATGGCTGGTCCAATTTTGGCTGCCTGGGCCTAAGAGAACTTTGTTCCCCCGCCTTGGTCAAAGGAAGTTTAGGGGGAGAAACTTCCGTGTTACGGACTTTTAGAATGTCAGGGAAAGAGTTAGTCAAAGAAAGAGTTAGCAAAGAAACAGTTAGTCAGGGAAAGAGTTAGTCAAAGAAAGAGCTAGTGAGGGAAAGAGTTAGTCAAAGAAATAGTTAGTGAGGGAAAGAGTTAGTCAAAGAAAGAGTTAGTGAGGGAAAGAGTTAGTCAAAGAAATAGTTAGTGAGGGAAAGAGTTAGTCAAAGAAAGAGTTAGTCAGGATATATGAGGTAGTCAAAGAAAGAGTTAGTGAGGGAAAGAGTTAGTCAAAGAAATAGTTAGTCAGGGAAAGAGTTAGTCAAAGAAAGAGTTAGTGAGGGAAAGAGTTAGTCAAAGAAAGAGTTAGTCAGGATATATGAGGTAGTCAAAGAAAGAGTTAGCAAAGAAAGAGTGAGTCAAAGAAAGAGCAAAGAAAGAGTTAGCAAAGAAAGAGTTCGTTAGGGAACGAGTTAGTCAAAGAAATGGTTCCCGCAATGTAAATGGGATTGCAAGTGGTGCTGGTGGAGGAGTTGCCGATGGAGTTTTGAAGGAAGTCTCGCACGAAATGCGTTTTTGAGAGATAGCAGATGCACGAAAGCCTATGTTTTTCCATACAAAGTCCGTCCCCGAACCTCGATGATCTACCTCTGCGGTGCGACGGTTGCGAGACGGTCTCGTGTGTGGTCGGATCATGCTCGGATCATGGGCGGATCATTCTCGGATCGGTTCCGCATTGTAAATGGGGTGTCACCTGTTTTTCGTGCATGTGCGGTCGACAGAATTCCATTGTGATTTGCAACTGTAGGATCGTTCCCGCATTGTAAATGGGGTTGCAAGTGGTGCTGGTGGATGAGTTGCTGATGGAATTCCATTGTGATTTGCAACTCTAGGATCGTTCCCTCACTGCAAATGGGATTGCAAGTGGTGCTGGTGGAGGAGTTGCCGATGGAGTTTTGAAGGAAGTCTCGCACGAAATGCGTTTTTGAGAGATAGCAGATGCACGAAAGCCTATGTTTTTCCATACAAAGTCCGTCCCCGAACCTCGATGATCTACCTCTGCGGTGCGACGGTTGCGAGACGGTCTCGTGTGTGGTCGGATCATGCTCGGATCATGGGCGGATCATTCGGATCATTCTCGGATCGGTTCCGCATTGTAAATGGGGTTTCAACTGTTTTTCGTGCATGTGTGGTCGACAGAATTCCATTGTGATTTGCAACTGTAGGATCGTTCCCGCATTGTAAATGGGGTTGCAAGTGGTGCTGGTGGATGAGTTGCCGATGGAATCCCATTGTGATTTGCAACTCTAGGATCGTTCCCTCACTGTAAATGGGATTGCAAGTGGTGCTGGTGGAGGAGTTGCCGATGGAGTTTTGAAGGAAGTCTCGCACGAAATGCGTTTTTGAGAGATAGCAGATGCACGAAACCCTATGTTTTTCCATACAAAGTCCGTCCCCGAACCTCGATGATCTACCTCTGCGGTGCGACGGTTGCGAGACGGTCTCGTGTGTGGTCGGATCATGGTCGGATATGCTCGGATCATTCTCGGATCGGTTCCGCATTGTAAATGGGGTGTCACCTGTGTTTCGTGCATTTGTTGTCGACAGAATTCCATTGTGATTTGCAACTGTAGGACCGTTCCCGCAATGTAGATGGGATTGCAAGTGGTGCTGGTGGATGAGTTGCTGATGGAATTCCATTGTGATTTGCAACTCTAGGATCGTTCCCTCACTGTAAATGGGATTGCAAGTGGTGCTGGTGGATGAGTTGCAGATGGAATTCCATTGTGATTTGCAACTGTAGGATCGTTCCCGCAATGTAAATGGGATTGCAAGTGTTGCTGGTGGATGAGTTGCCGATGGAAGTCCATTGTGCTTTGCAACTGTAGGATCGTTCCCGCAGTGTAAATGGCTGCGTCAAGGTTGCTTCGTGCTGTGGCTGCATTCGCAATACTATTGTCTTTTGCAGCTGGATCTCGTAAATCGTATTGGAGTGGCTGCATGAAGGCTGCGACATGGATTTGTTAGCAGATTTTCTCCATTTTGGCGCTAATGATTTTCCTTCTAAAAATTCTTTTAAAAAGTGCTTCAAAATCGTCTTTTTTTCGCTCTGGCGTCGAGATCCGGTTTTGGAGCCACAATTTCCGACGCCGTTGCGCGTAGTTCTATTGTGTTTTGGAACTCAATCTCTGCAGATCGCATTGTAATGGCTGCGTCAAGGTTGCTGCGTGCTGTGGCTGCATTCGTAATACTATTGTCTTTTGCAGCTGGATCTCGTAAATCGTATTGGAGTGGCTGCATGAAGGCTGCGACATGGATTTGTTAGCAGATTTTCTCCATTTTGGCGCTAGTGATTTTCCTTCTAAAAATCCTTTTAAAAAGTGCTTCAAAATCGTCTTTTTTCGCTCTGGCGTCGAGATCCGGTTTTGGAGCTACAATTTCCGACGCCGTTGTGCGTAGTTCTATTGTGTTTTGCAACTCAGTCTCTGCAGATCGCATTGTAATGGCTGCGTCAAGGTTGCTTCGTGCTGTGGCTGCATTCGTAATACTATGTCTTTTGCAGCTGGATCTCGTAAATCGTATTGGAGTGGCTGCATGAAGGCTGCGACAGTGATTTGTTAGCAGATTTTCTCCATTTTGGCGCTAGTGATTTTCCTTCTAAAAATCCTTTTAAAAGTGCTTCAAAATCGTCTTTTTTTCGCTCTGGCGTCGAGATCCGGTTTTGGAGCTACAATTTCCGACGCCGTTGCGCGTAGTTCTATTGTGTTTTGCAACTCAGTCTCTGCAGATCGCATTGTAATGGCTGCGTCAAGGTTGCTTCGTGCTGTGGCTGCATTCGTAATACTATTGTCTTTTGCAGCTGGATCTCGGAAATCGTCTTGGAGTGGCTGCATGAAGGCTGCGAAATGGGTTTGTTAGCAGATTTTCTCAATTTTGGCACTAGTGTTTTTCCCCACATCTTTGTGTGGGGTTCTTGTTTTTGATTCTGTATCCCGGGCTCCTCCTCCGCCGCCTTCTCCTCCTCCGCCCTCCTCCACACTTTTTGTCACCATACACTTTGTCAACAACAAACACTTTCTCAATCAACACACACTTTTTTATCACCACACACTTTGTCCAACACACACTTTATCAACAAACACTTTATCAACATACACTTTATCAACAAACACTTTATCAACATACATTTTTCCCCACATCTCAACACACACTTTATCACCACACACTTTGTCACCACACACTTTGTCCACACATATCACCACACACTTTGTCACCACACACTTTGTCCACACACACTTTGTCCACACACACTTTGTCCAACACACACTTTAACACACTTTATCAACAAACACTTTGTCACCACACACTTTGTCAACACACACTTTGTCACCACACACTACACACTTTATCACCACACACTTTGTCACCACACACTTCACACTTTGTCACCACACACTTTGTCACCACACACTTTGTCACCACACACTTTGTCCCACACACACTTTATCAACAAACACTTTGTCACCACACACTTTGTCCACACACACTTTATCAACAAACACTTTGTCACCACACACTTTGTCCACACACACTTTGTCACCACACACTTTGTCACCACACACTTTGTCACCACACACTTTGTCCACACACACTTTATCAACAAACACTTTGTCAACACACACTTTGTCACCACACACTTTGTCACCACACACGTTGCGCCACTTTGCGTGGCAGGCGTGGCACAACCTCACATCCACCTTCGTTTTGCGTGGCAGGCGTGGGACAGATGGTACTGGGTGGCGCCCTTGGGCCGGGATTTGGCGCCTGGGGCGCCGCGCCACTTTGCGTGGCAGGCGTGGCACAACCTCACATCCACCTTCGTTTCACGTGGCAGGCGTGGCACAAACTGACATCTGCTGTCGTTTTGCGTGGCAGGCGTGGGACAGATGGTACTGGGTGGCGCCCTTGGGCCGGGATTTGGCGCCTGGGGCGCCGCGCCACTTTGCGTGGCAGGCGTCTCAACACACACTTTATCACCACACACTTTGTCACCACACACTTTGTCCACACATATCACCACACACTTTGTCACCACACACTTTGTCCACACACACTTTGTCCACACACACTTTGTCCAACACACACTTTAACACACTTTATCAACAAACACTTTGTCACCACACACTTTGTCAACACACACTTTGTCACCACACACTCCACACTTTATCACCACACACTTTGTCACCACACACTTCACACTTTGTCACCACACACTTTGTCACCACACACTTTGTCCCACACACACTTTATCAACAAACACTTTGTCACCACACACTTTGTCCACACACACTTTATCAACAAACACTTTGTCACCACACACTTTGTCCACACACACTTTGTCACCACACACTTTGTCACCACACACTTTGTCACCACACACTTTGTCCACACACACTTTATCAACAAACACTTTGTCAACACACACTTTGTCACCACACACTTTGTCACCACACACGTTGCGCCACTTTGCGTGGCAGGCGTGGCACAACCTCACATCCACCTTCGTTTTGCGTGGCAGGCGTGGGACAGATGGTACTGGGTGGCGCCCTTGGGCCGGGATTTGGCGCCTGGGGCGCCGCGCCACTTTGCGTGGCAGGCGTGGCACAACCTCACATCCACCTTCGTTTCACGTGGCAGGCGTGGCACAAACTGACATCCGCCGTCGTTTTGCGTGGCAGGCGTGGGACAGATGGTACTGGGTGGCGCCCTTGGGCCGGGATTTGGCGCCTGGGGCGCCGCGCCACTTTGCGTGGCAGGCGTGGCACAACTTGACATCCACCTTCGTTTCACGTGGCAGGCATGGCACAAACTGACATCTGCCGTCGTTTTGCGTGGCAGGCGTGGGACAGATGGTGCTGGGTGGCGCCCTTGGGCCGGGATTTGGCGCCTCGGGCGCCGCGCCACTTTGCGTGGCAGGCGTGGCACAACTTGACATCCACCTTCGTTTCACGTGGCAGGCGTGGCACAAACTGACATCTGCCGTCGTTTTGCGTGGCAGGCGTGGGACAGATGGTACTGGGTGGCGCCCTTGGGCCGGGATTTTGCGCCTGGGGCGCCGCGCCACTTTGCGTGGCAGGCGTGGCACAACCTCACATCCACCTTCGTTTCACGTGGCAGGCGTGGCACAAACTGACATCTGCCGTCGTTTTGCGTGGCAGGCGTGGGACAGATGGTACTGGGTGGCGCCCTTGGGCCGGGGTTTGGCGCCTGGGGCGCCGCGCCACTTTGCGTGGCAGGCGTGGCACAACCTCACATCCACCTTCGTTTCACGTGGCAGGCGTGGCACAAACTGACATCTGCCGTCGTTTTGCGTGGCACAACCTGACATCCACCTTCGTTTCACGTGGCAGGCGTGGCACAAACTGACATCTGCTGTCGTTTTGCGTGGCAGGCGTGGGACAGATGGTACTGGGTGGCGCGCTTGGGCCGGCTTGGGCGCCTGTGACGCCGCGGCACTTTGCGTGGCAGGCGTGGCACAACCTCACATCCACCTTCGTTTCACGTGGCAGGCGTGGCACAAACTGACATCTGCCGTCGTTTTGCGTGGCAGGCGTGGGACAGATGGTACTGGGTGGCGCCCTTGGGCCGGGATTTGGCGCCTGGGGCGCCGCGCCACTTTGCGTGGCAGGCGTGGCACAACTTGACATCCACCTTCGTTTCACGTGGCAGGCGTGGCACAAACTGACATCTGCCGTCGTTTTGCGTGGCAGGCGTGGGACAGATGGTACTGGGTGCTGAATGCTTTTGGCGACCACAATGCCACCGTTATTCAGCAGTTGCGCCAGGACAAACACTATATGCTCCTGAACACGATGCAAATGTGATCGAAAGAAAAGATGGCGTTCGTCCCAGCTCAGAACAGGTTCTGTGCAAACAGTTGCAGCTATTTGTATGTCACTTGCTGTTTCTGCACTGTCCATGGACAGCTGTTTTGTTGCAATTTCAACGTGATCGCATCTTCTGATACTACCTGCCAGGTACTGACCTCATCGCGTACATGGTCCACGCCGACACCCGCACTCACACACACACCGACACACACACACGCACACACACATACACACACACAGACACACACATACACACACGTACACACACACACAGACACACACATACACACACGTACACACACACACACACGCACACACACACACAGACAAACACACACACACACACACCCACACACACACATCATCCAAACGCCAGTCGTGGGCCATCCGTTTTCGTGATGGTCTGCGCTGTACGTTTGCGGACACATAATCAATGGTCACGCATCGATTGCCCTTCGCCGCACTTCCTGGCGTGGGGCATCTTTGATCGTGGCCGCACACCACACACACACATACTCGCACACACACACACACACGCACACCCACACACCTCACCCACAAACACAACTCATCCGTACACAACTTACTCACACATACTCGTCCACACATAACTTACTCCACACCAATCCTTCACCATCTCTTTTCTCTTTCTTGCTTACCCCATGCCGTCTTTGCCTTTCTTTTGTTGCTTGTTGGAAGAAGTTGACTTGTGGGGTTATCCGGTCCTTTAATTTTTTTGTTGGACGTACGTTTAGAGCAGTGTGAAGTGTGGGGCGTGAAGAGTGCAGTGTGAAGTGTGAAGTGTGAAGGAAGCAGTGGGAAGTGAGAAGTGTGAAGTGTGGAGTGTGAAGTTTCAGTTTGGAGTGCGAAGAGCGCAGTGTGAAGTGTGAAGTGTGAAGTGTGAGGTTTGGAGTGTGAAGGAAGCAGTGAGAAGTGTGAAGTTTGGACTGTGAAGTGTGAAGTGTGAGTGAAGTGTGGAGTGCGAAGTGCGAAGTGAGAAGTGTGAAGTGTGAGTTTTGGAGTGTGAAGTTTGGAGTGGGAAGGAAGCAGTGAGAAGTGAGAAGTGTGAAGTGTGGACTGTGAAGTGTGGAGTGTGAAGTGCGAAGTGAGAAGTGTGAAGTGTGGAGTGTGAAGGGAGCAGTGAGAAGTGAGAAGTGTGAAGTGAGAAGTGTGAAGTGTGGACTGTGCAGTGTGGAGTGCGAAGAGCGCAGTGTGAAGTGTGAAGTGTGAATTGTGAGGTTTGGAGTGTGAAGGAAGCAGTGAGAAGTGTGAAGTGTGGACTGTGAAGTGTGAGTGAAGTGTGGAGTGTGAAGTGCGAAGTGAGAAGTGTGAAGTGTGAAGTTTGGAGTGTGAAGTTTGGAGTGGGAAGGAAGCAGTGAGAAGTGAGAAGTGTGAAGTGTCGACTGTGAAGTGTGGAGTGTGAAGTGCGAAGTGAGAAGTGTGAAGTTAGGAGTGTGAAGGAAACAGTGAGAAGTGAGAAGTGAGAAGTGTGAAGTGAGAAGTGTGAAGTGTGGACTGTGAAGTGTGGAGTGTGAAGTGCAAAGTGAGAAGTGTGAAGTGTGAAGTGTGAAGTGTGAAGAAGGAAGCAGTGAGAAGTGAGAAGTGTGAAAGTGTGAAGAGTGTGAAGCAGTGAGAAGTGAGAAGTGTGAAATGTGGAGTGTGAAGTGTGAAGTGCGAAGTGAGAAGTGTGGACTGTGAAGTGTGAAGTGTGAAGTGTGGATTGTGAAGTGTAAGTGTGAAGTGTGGACTGTGAAGTGAGAAGTGTGGAGTGTGAAGTGTGGAGTGTGAAGTTTGAAGTTTGGAGTGCGAAGAGTGCAGTGTGCAGTGTGAGGTGTGGAGTGTCGAGGGATGGACACGGTCGGGACAGGGTGTCTTTGAACTATAGGTCATTTATGTTTGGGAAACTTCCGCCGCCGGCTTGCCCGGGTCTATGTTATTGATATTGAGACTGGATTGGTTGAAGGTTGAAGGTGTTCTTTTTTAAACGGCTATCTGGTTGGTGGTTGACCTACCCCTCTCAAAAATGATGGAGTTCGTCAGTTGGGATCATTATTCCCAATATATGGAAAGTCATAAAAATCATGTTCCAAACCACCAACCAGCTATTGTTTACCATCAACTGTCACGGGGTCCTGTGAGATTTCCCTCAAAACCAATAAAGAGAACATGACATGACATAAAAGAACCATATTCCTTGGCCTTGGATTTGTTTTTTTATTGCTGAGCCCCCATTGAAGGGTATGACGGCCAACCCATTTACATATTTACCAAGTGCGAGAAACTGCAAGAACCTTCTCAGCCCCAAATCACACCAGTCAAAACCGTGAAGGCACTCAACTTCTCAATATTACTTACTAATCCCATCCCCTGGATACTACCAACTGCCCCCATATGAGGGATTCTCGGGGGTTCTGCAAAAAAAAACGCCTCGACGCTTGGCAAGTAGACCTTTGTCACCTAGGACAGCTTGGCTGGGAATGGCTGAAGGTGTGGGTGCCAGGGTTCTCAGGTTAGCACTAGATCCCGTACATTCTCACTCAACAGTTGAATCTACCCATGAAGCTACCTGCTAGTTGTCTATCAAATCCAAGTCAACTCTGATCTTGTCTGATCCATACTATATAGTCAAATCTAATCCAAATAGTCCAAAGTCTGATCTAGTCGAACAGTCTGATGTAGTCTAACCATGTCTAACCCATCTACCCAAAACAACTGTTGCTGATCCCAGTCACTTGCGCCCTTCGCCTTCGCCACCGCCAGGCGAACCAGGCAGCTGGGATACCTCGACGGAGTCCGTGGTGACGAAGGGGAGCGATATGAAAAACAAATGTATATAGATGATGTGCGCATACATACACAATCAATATTTAACATGCAAATATATATATATATAATACATATATATAATACATATATATAATATATAAAATATATATATATGTGTATTTTACTGTAATTCAAAAATATGTACCATGATGTACTGTACACACATTTGTTCTAAAAGAGCCCCTCAATTAAACACAACAATACTAGAAGTATCCTCCAGGATCATGTTGCAGAGCTAGATATCAAGACGGTCTCAGAATAAATGACTGAACTCAGGGGCATGCCCCTTCCGAAATGGTCTCATTAGGCTGTCCCAAGGGTGTTATGTGGTTATGCCCTCTGGGAGACACAGGAGCCCCTGCAGAAATGTGCTGGTCAAATCATGTATCCATTTCTATATTGACAAAGTGTCCTGCTGGTTGGTGGTTGACCTACTCCTCTGAAAAATATTAGTCAGTTGGGATGACTATTCCCAATATATGGAAACATAAAGAAACATGCTCCAAACCACCAACCAGGTCCTGCTTGTTGGTTAAAACATGCGAATCTCCTCCTTTCCTCTGGTCCATTTCCAGCTCCGAATGTCAAGGCACAAAAGAGCAGGAGGGCTATCGGAGCCTAAAACCAAGGCCCCACCCCACTGGAAGAATCCCTTCCCCCTTATACTAAATACCACGCTAACCCCCAAAATGAATAGATCCTAAACCAAGGTTTCCTTTGGGGCTATTTCATATTATGGAATAAATATGGATAAATCATGGATAAATCATCTCGCCTGGCGGTTTAAGCAAGAGGGATCAACTATATTGGTTTGCTTGTTTTTCCTTCGAATGGTGAATGTATCATTGGCTTCAAGCGGCTTGATATCATGAGGCTGCCCGGCACGATAGGTCAACCACAAGCCTGAGAAAAATCGATGGTGACCTACTGGGATTCACAAGAAAGATCTTTTTGCCCGGAAAACACACGTCGAATCTATTGGGGCATTGCACATCTGGTTGGTGGTTGACCTACCCCTCTGAAAAATGATGGACTTCGTCAGTTGGGATGATGATTATTCCCAAGATATGGAAAAATAGTCCACATGTTCCAAACCACCAACCAGACATTGTCATGATTGTTGACCAATAGTTTCAGACATCAAACATCACATTTCTCTTGGTTGATTGGTTGACGGTATTGTGGTGTTTTGTTGACTCTATTTGATTGGGGGTGAATTATTATATAGCAAATTACGACCCACTGGAAAACAATACCGGTGGATACATAAACGCACAAACTGATGCCATGTGAATATTGTAATTCAACCAATCATGATGCTATAGCCCGGGGTCAAACTTGTCGTCGTGTTTTTTCTTCAAGGTGGCCTGTACCACTTATAAGTTAGTTTATAACCCCCAGGAACAATAGTTATATCCCCATGCAACCTAGATACAGTAACCAAGTTATAGATCAACTTAGCTATCACAAATCGGCTAGTATATCGTACAAATCATTGTAAATCCCATTAGATCAATTTGTGTCTTGGTTAAACCGCCAATGTGTATCATCCATAATCATCCATATGTTTCAATCATGTTAAATCATGATCCATAGAGTCCATTCCCATTATGTAAACCATGATGTATTTCATTGTTGAAAGGTTATTTAAACATGATTAAACCAGTATCAATCCATGTAAATCATTACAAAATATTTTTTAAAAAAAACATATACCATCTGGTTATTTAAACATAGCCATGGAAAAATCCACCATTTTTAAGTTCGGTAAACAATCTATTTCTATGGGCCATCTATACCATGGCTATGTTAGTCATAACCAGAGGGTAAATCACCAGACAGTTCCATTAAATCCCATTAAATCACCATTAGATCACCATTAACCTCATATAAATCCATATAAATCCATATAAATCCAATATAAATCCAATATAAATCCATTATAAAATCCATATAAATCCATATAAATCATTATAAAATCCATATAAATCCATAGAAATCCAAAAACAAATCCATATAAATCCATATAAATCATGATAAAATCCATATAAATCACATATTTTCCTGTGGCTTTTCAGCAGCTCCAAATTTTCTGTCAAGGCACTGCCACCAGCGCCACGATCTCACCGTCAGCACCTCCCTCGGGGTCCTGACATGGGATCTCATGGGAGTTTTCAGGTGTCACCAACAAAGGTATTTAACGGGATCCTGATTACCCTCTGGTAATTTGACATAGCTATTGAAAATGGTGATTTTCAATAGCTATGATTTCAATGGGATTTTTCCATGGGATTTTCAAAACTTTTTTTTGGCCATTTATTAGTTATATAATTGCCACCGGTGAGAAACTGGTTATTGCTATTTTTTATCAATGGGAATTTCAGGATCCTAAAATGGAGGTACGTTAGTTAGTACCATATTTTTGGCCATATTTTGCTGGGATATTCCCTGAAATTTAGGCCTTATATAGGCCTTATATATGGTAGGTACCTCCAATAAATCGATTCCTGAAATGGCCATTGAAGTTATGGCCATTTATTAGTTATAACTGGTTTTTGCTATGGGATTATAACGGATGAAACGGATGAAATCCCACAGTTATGGCCACTTATTAGTTATAAATGGGATTATAAATGGGATCAGACACATTCTATAAATGAGGTTAGTTCAGTACTTATAGCTGGTACTTTGGGCCACAACTGTAGTGAATATCCCCAGTTCTATTGGGGTTGTCTCTTTCATTGGGATTGTCCATGATTCTATGAATGATTGTACCTCTACTTAAAAATCTTTTGAGCACTTCCCACTTCAAGTTCACTAGATCTTGGTGTTTTTTCCACTCATTTAAGTCATCATTTATCCGTTTCTGGAAAGTCATTGGGGATGCTTCGTGACTTATTTTGCCATGTTTGTCAAATGTCAAAGCGCCTTGTGGATGGTCATCATTTAAGACTCGCTGACTCTCTCCGAGAAACCGTCAATCGTCTCGTAGCGAATCCCCCAGGTTGTAGCATCAGTTACTACAAGGTGGTGCCCCCCAGTTGTAAATTGGTTACAAGCCCATTAACATCCATTAACTATAGATATACCGCCGTTATTGGAGTTATGTCCACCAACTTAGCTAACGAACCGGGGCACCACCACCTTGTGGGGCAACACCTTGTATTATTTTAACATTCACTACAAAAAATGATAGTTGGGCTGACAAGAAAGTTTCAAACATCCATGAATTACAAACACATAGGACATAGTCAATAATCGTCACTTAAGTTTTGACTAGATAATGGTCACTAGTATTCACTAGTAATTTCATCAATGGGATTACTACCTTTTGTTAACTAAATCAATGTTAATCCGCTATCTTTGATGAGTAAATCCCTTCAAGTCCGTGATCATAATCATCGACTTGATATGTTTAACATTGTTTAACCATAGTAAATACATGTTCATACTAATAATTTAATGACCCTATAGACTGCAATCATGTTTGATCAAAACCTCCTATTTTTGGGCCCGAACTCCGCCTGCTGCGGAGCCCCTGAGGTGGTCGAAGTCACCTCGATCACCTCCAGTGAAGTTTCGCATTGTGGGATTTCACTAGGGAACGACGAGGATTTCAAGGGGATACCCTCTGGACTAACAGTTTGCGAACTGGAAAATCACCATTGTTGATAGGTAAATCAACGAACTTTCTATGGGTCATGTTCAATAGCTATGTTACATTACCAGAGGGTATCATTACTGTTGATGCATCCACAGTAGGATATGTCATGGGGATATCAGTCAATCATATCAAGTTGGCTGTGTTTGGAAAATCTTCAGGATCTCACGGGAAAATTCCATGGATGAAACCATCGATGCCATGGATGAATGATATTGAATGATTGGGTACAAAACCAACATGAAGCAACAATATTTCGGGAAACTCTGCCAAGATAGAATCACTCAAAGTAATTTGGGTGTGTCTGAAAATGGGGGTATACCTGAAATTCGAACAAATATAGCATTTTTGATGGAGGGAAATGAGACAAACCCAGATGAGCCTAGGTGCTTGGATGTGTCATTGATCTCACTCGGCATTTGCTTGAACTATCTGACAAGTGGGACTCAGCCTGTATAGACGTGTATACTAAAACTGGTTGGAGGTTTGAACCCCTCTGAAAAATATGAACGTCAGTTGGGATTATTGTTCCCCATAAATGGAAAAATCAAAAAAATGTTCCAAACCACCAACCAGAGAATGTATACCTGACTCCTTAAATTTCTCATCTCAATGTCTTTCAATTTGGCGGACCATCTTCTGATCCTAAGCGGTTTCCACAGATTCCAGAGGTGAAGGGTTGTAGTTTCCAACACTGAAGGTCTTCCAGTGATTTCCTATCTATTTTCCAAAGAATTCCTACCAGCTCTGGTGTTGGTGTTTCAACCCACGGATATGATTCAGTGGGACTCAATTTTACCAAATCGGATGCACAAAACAGCAGCCAAAGATCCGCAATTTCGGCCATTCTATTTGGAGCATAACTACCGAAATATGTGACCTACGAATGTCCCAAAGTCCCAAAATGGTTTTAGATTGAAATTTAAACAGCCAAGTCCCATGGATCCATGAATGCTATTTAAAACTATATTAAATTTAAATTGAGGGATTGAACGCATGGATCTACCATAAGACCCTTGAACCTACATATTTCATCATATTTCATCATACTTCAACCAACTTACTAAGGTTTGGGGCCACCACCTTGGTAAAATATGATAAGACTCATTATCAACTCACCATTTCTTTTAGTTAAAAAAGAAACACTAGTTGGAAACCTCTAACAACTATCTGATTATCAATGACATTTATCTATAGTGATCAATGGCATTTATCTATAGTTATATAGTTACAGTAGATCACATTACCCTCTGGTTATGTCAAAATAGCTATTGAAAATGGCCATAGAAATAGTGGATTTTCCCATTAAAAATGGGATTTTCCATAGCTATGTAAACGTTTACCAGAGGGTAGATCTTCTGAAAACACATCATTTTACCCCGAGGGCCACGGTCCAACGCTGCGAAGGTAACACGTTTTTTGGATCGGAATCGCCAGCCTTGACTTCCACTGAAAGCACCTCCACCTAGCGGTCCCCTATGATCAATGGGAGATCTTCAGGATCCTAAAATGGAGGTACGTTAGTACCATATGTTTGGCCATATTTTGTGGGGATATTCCCTGAAATTTAGGCCTAAAAAATAGGCCTTATATATGGTAGGTACCTCCAATTTAGGATCCTGGAATGGCCATTGATATGATGAACGTTATCTAAGCTATGAATGGGTTCACCCTCATTTATGTTTGTTGGTTTAAACATGTTTGTAACAGCTTATAACCCCTGGAATGCTCTATATCTATATACCATAAACCCAAGAAAAATTGGAGTTATAAACCATTATAAACCAATTTGCCAATTTAGCTAACTATGGGGAACCAGTTTGTGTGAATGGGAGACTAAATGTGGGCTGATATGGCATGCATGGGTACATGGATTCCATGGAATGCAATGGGTTTTTGGGGCACGGTCAGGCCGGGCAGCAGAAAGGCCCCCCAGCGCAAAGATCAACGACGGTAAGGAAAACACATCACCATCCATTTCCCATAGGATCCATGGTGCTGGTATTATATGCTAACATCAATGGGGTATATTGATGGGATCCATGTTACCATTAATATAGCATACATGGATCCTATGGGTTTTAATAAAGACCCTGATAACTATAACATTCTTTTTTACGCGAGAATTACATTTCATCCCCCAAATCTCAATTTGCTGGTAATGCTAGTTGGAACGAGGATAGTTATCTGTATACCATCACACATGGGCAACATCTTATTTTTTTTTGGCGCTTGTACTGGAAAGGACGTTAAGCCGTTAAGATCCGTTAAGCCACCTACTAAGTATAACCTATCCAATATACTCCATGTATGAAATATTTACCAACATTTGCCCTAAAGATCACCCAGTTTTGTAGGTAAATATACCATACATGGGGCATATGGGTAATGAAGGATGATAATCCCCAATAAACCAG